GGACTCACAGTCAGCAATAAACTCTATTGGAAACAGAGAGACACCCAAAACAGCTGAGATAAAGGAATGTAGAAAACTCTATGAGCTGCTGAGAGAGAAAAACAAAACAGTGGTCCTACAATGGATTCCTGGTCACTGTGGCATTAAAGGCAATGAGATTGCTGACACACTTGCTAAGAAGGGGACAACACTTTTGCAATGCATGGACCGGCCCATGTCTTTCCACACAATGAAGGCCTTAATCAGGAGAGAATTCCAGACCTCAAGGTACAACGAACTCAAAGCTCGAACAAAGGAGAAACAGTGGACAGTGGCACTCTCCGACATACCCGACTGGCCAAGAATCGAAGCCGTTGCTGAGTTTAGACTACGTACCGGACACGATTGCTTGGCAAAACACCTTCACAGACTGGGAGTATACACTCAACCCACATGCCCTCTATGTAACCTACATGAGGAAATGGAGAAGACCCACCTGATTCGGTGTCCAGCTCTAAAGACAAGGACGGAAAGCCAAAGATACTGGGAAGCAAGAAGACTGCTAATGAACTGCTATTAATTAACTGCTATAAATGTACCCCCCCCCCTCTTGGGGGAAGCTGAAGTCAAAGATTAAGGGCTAATGATAAATATCATAAAGCCTACCATTTGAAATAAATAAATATATATATATATTTATGGCATTTGGATTAATAGTTTGCTCAGTTAAGGTACAAATTTAGACTGATTCGTGAAAATTCAATGAGAATTTTTACTTAATATGTCTCAAAACCAGCCTTCAGACATTCTTAAAAATATTTGGACTCATGGAAGCGCTTAGGAGAAAAGGTACCAACTCTCTTTACTTCATATTTAATTCTGTAAAATTCATTTCGCAAAAATATTCATTAATTCATTACCCTGATGCTAAATTGAATAAATTGTTAAAAAATAAATAAACAACTATTGATCATTCCAAGATGACTTACTTCTCTCGAATATTTTTCAGTGAGCCTCTTCCAGCATTGGCCACTGCCCAGAGTGCTGAATTTTCATGTAGATTCGCTGTGCAGACGACTGATAAACGCGTGTTCATTTGATTGTCGCTAATAAGTTTTATTACCTGACATTTAAATCAACTCATTAGTAGTTATTAGAAAACAGAAAAAAGCTACTCAGACGCGAAAATGGAATCCTACCTCAGTTGGTTGGCTAATATCACCACCAGTTAGCAAAATTATTTGACGAAAACGACTTTTTTCTGTTAATGGAGTACTATAAGTGAGATTGAGTGCCCCAAATAAACCCGAGCCACCATCTTCTGTGCAAAGTCGAGTAAGGAAATGCAAGGCTTTAATAAGATTCAACTTTGAGTATGCAACTGGTCTAGAAAGAGTATTTGATTAAATAACCGATATCTAATTACTTTGGAAACAAGACATGATATTTAACACCATATGAGATAATCTGAAAACGGCACTGTTTCGGTAAAGACTTTAGAGAAAGAAGTAAAGCATCTCTGAGCTTCTCGAACATGTTGCTGTCATAGTTACCTGAAGATAAATGTTGCCATTATTAAACGTGCAAACAATGGGTCATAGGAAAGAGCAGAAAACGTACCAGAACAATCAATAATTAAAATCACCTCGCATTTTTGGCCATCATTAATCTCTAGTTGAGGAATACTTGGAAGAAACGATGCCGCAATGCAGTGATTACTCAAGAAACTCTCCTTGATACCATTCCCAACTTCCAATACTGATACTAGTTCGTGAGAGTTATGCGTTGTAATCTCCAATCCAAAATCCTGGACAGAATCAATATCATATGGTAATGATACTCTTGCGTGCTTCTTATTCGAGTCCAAGAAGTCTACCTTCAAATTATGGCTTTTAGATATAACAGAAAGAATCTCTTTTGATGAATAAATTTCAGCGGAAAACCTAATTTTCACCACTGATTTGGAAGAGGAGATGTCTCCTAAATGAAAGAAAGTTTAAATGAAAAGGCTGTTGAACAATATTTTTAAAGAGCTGTGATAAGAGAATCATTTTTTACTTGGAATTAGTAAAAGCGAGCCAACAGTGTTTGGTAAATGTTTGAATCCAATTTGTAAATTATCAGATGCCTCGACGACCAAGGGAGCGACATATCTGAACGTTAAAACGACATCCCCTCCAGCAGGTATGCCACCAACTTTCATTTTAAAAAAATTTTCAGGCGGAAGACTTTTGAGCATCATAAACATGTTGCGATCAGCGCTTACTAGTATTTTAGATTTTCCGCCGGACTAGGACAGAATGATTTATGTAAAGCACTTACCCCAAGACGTTCTCTACAATTAGCTAATATATGTTTGTTCCCAATTACAGCATCGAAGTAATAGACCGCAGCTTTCGGGTCCAATGGATAAATGAATTCAGCTTCAATAACCTTGGGAGTGGTATTTTTATAGTAAAAAATAAGAGACGCATCGGCAATATTGTTTACAATATTAGCATTTGAATCAATGTTTTTGAGAAATACTGACTCATGAGGAGAAACTGAACAATTTAAAAGGCCCAACCTGTTAGTCATCGTCTTCTGTATTCGGAAAGGTGCGTTAAATTTCAAGGACACTTTTATATGCATTTTAAGCTCTACTTTTTATTTAAATGCGTTTCACAATCAATGCTAAATACGAATAACAGTATTTAAAACTTTGATGCCTAAATATTTTTTATTTATAATATTTACAATTTTACCAGATATTTCATTAGGGGGACAATATTTTTAGTGTTTCATTAAAGATTATTTCACTCGAATGAATGATTTGTAGTAGAGTATATACTTATGATTTGATGGAACGTGTTTATTTATGATTTGAAAGAATGAAATCATAAAAAATCTTTGGGTGGGGTGGGGAGGAGATGATGACTCTAAAGTAGAATTTACTCTAGACAAAGGAGTGGCGGAGGTAACAAAGCATGAAACAAAATTATAGTTTCATGAAACAAAAAGTTCAATAAAAGAAGATGCTTGCCTTACTGAACTTGCCTCTATAAAATTAAACGAGTCTAAGCTGATTTTTTGTCATCGCTATCCAAATTTTCCTATACATATTTATCTCCCATTGTCCACAATTTATACTCCAAATAATGTAAGGAGGAAATACTTGATGGAATGTGTGGGACACTTCAACAACGACCAAATAGAAATCCTGCTAAAGAAAACAACTCAGAAATATTTAGCTATTAAAGTTCAAACGAATTATGTTAGAGTTATCTGATAACGAACCGCTTTGCCAACATAACACTTCGCTATCAATTTACGTACCGAATAAACGTACCCCGTGCTACACGTCTGTTTCCCTTATAGCTGGGCTATAGCTTAGCTTGTTCTGGGAGTCTAGCTAGATGTTGGAGAATCTGCCATAGAGATTTCTGAGTCGGTCAGGTTTTACTAGCGTAGCACTCCGCTACAAATGCAACAATGTTGGTCCATTAAGGAACTACAGATACTTTGTTTAGGAGGCTATCTATTGAGCCTTTATTAAGTCATTCTCCCATTTATTAAAGGGAAGCCGGTTCAGAAATTAAACGTCCTTGATAATGTGATGACGGTTTAGGAAAACTATAAAAAGATTTCAATATTCATTATCTTCATTTTTTAGTCAGAATTATGACCCATTTCTGATTGGACCATTTAGACTGGACTGAAAGACAAATAATAGACCAGTGTTCAAAAAGTGAAAGAAATTTTATTGTCAGCGTGCCCAAAAAGCAGTGCCAATGATAGAGATAAAGGTGTTTGAACAAGTGGGCTAGTTGGGTAAGGTTAAAGAATTTTATATCCCCTGACAATTTACATTTTCTGTTCAATTTGAATTTAGTCAGAGAAGGTATTAAGAAAGTGCAGAGCCGCAAAGGTTGTGATTAGAAATATGGAATAAACTGGACGAGGATACCCTAAGGGACCATTCTGAATTAAATATTACTGAAACAACAATAGACGTGGGGAAGACATATCAGTATTTAAAATCTATTCAGTTGATGAAGAAAAACTTTTTGAAAATTTGAAAGAAACCCATCCAATGAATATATGCACATAAATAAATAGCTTCAATTCTGTAAAACGTGCACATTTCTAATTACATTTTTTGTTATCTTGAGCATAAACAAAATGTCAACTACTTTTTAAAATCCAGGACATTAAAATAATTTTTAGTTCGTATCTACTCTTTTGACATAATGTGTTTCTGAGTGCAATTTTTAATTTGTGACTAATGCATCTAATCCATACTCATTTACTGTCCTCAAGTCCATTTGGCAGAATGGTGTTAGCCCATTTTGAGTATTATATTGTCAGCACAAATATCATCTTTTAATTTAATTATCTGCAAGGTTTTCAGATGTCGCCCACTTTAAGCATGCATGACCTGCTTGCTGTATGCATTGATCATTTGACCTCGAAAACTTGTTCACAAATGTATTTTTCTATCAAAGCACGCCTATTCTTCTAATATTCTTTTTAAATTACTTTGTAACTTAAATTGTAGTCACTGCACACATGTATGTTTTGAAATTATGGCAATAATATTTAGATCATTTTGACGCGAATTCTTAACTCAAATATAGGTTTGTAAACGTTTTTGCAAAAAATTATTATTATTCACTACTGCCTATGTATTGCCTTATATATTTGCAACAATGACTCTGGTTGCAGATTATTTAAAATAACTACTCTGCAGATAAAAAAAGACTGAAATGTATTGGTAATAATTATAAAGTTTTCACTATCATACTGGTAAACGGAACTAACTGGTGATCTATAGATTCGGGTAAATTTATATCCCTATTTGCAATAATCCGTACATTTTATTTCCAACAGACATTAAAACTGCATTCCTGTAGGCCATAGCGCCTTAAAATTTCTCACCTTGAGAAGGTTTAAATGACAAATGCTTTCTACTCTATGTGAGAATTGAAGAGGCTTTTACTCTTCAGAAGAGTAATATTCGGATTTCACTTTTTTACTGCAAGGAATTTTAGGTTTCCTTTCAACTAATATATTCGACACGACAATAACTTGGCTTTTCCCTCCAGATCTATTGGTTGATGGGGGCTTTGATAGCCTACTTATTTAGATCCAAAAAGAGCCATTCATACATTGCCAATCCGTCGACCTATTGAATTATTAATATCCGAATAATGCATTTGTCGATTGCCTATCTTTATCACATTTATTCATTTCAAATTCCACTTATGAAGGTCAAATGAAGATTATTTATGAGAGGATTAAAATACCCACCACTTGAGAGCAAATGGGAGATACAGAGACTGATCTCTACTCATAAAACAAAAATTAGGTTAAGAAAAACACCTTTATGTGAAATCTGAGTAGAGAAAGAGAGAGTTAATTAATGGCGTTTCTTTGAATATTTCAACCCATTGAAGAGGGAATGAGCATAACCTAATACGAGCCTTCCCATTAGTTAATAAACAAGAGCACAGTTAAGAGACTCAATTTAATTTATCGCGAAATGTGTCGGTAAATTAGAGGAGTTTCCTTGATTCTTATTTTTACAGCACAATTTCTCAACAATTACAAATCATAATGAAAACTAGTCCTCTAACGGAATAAAGTTGGAAAAATTATAGTATTAAAATCAACGTGAAATGCTATTAAAAGCATAACTTCCTAGTAGATCAATCAGAATGGAAGTCAAGAGGACAACGAGCAATGCAGCCCTGCTTATTTCAGTGAATTCTGAATATGTTGAGAGGCATTTCTAAGTCATTCCTCCCCTCTTTGACACAACACAATCTTTATTTTAATTTCAAAATTTACGAGGCAACAAAATGCTAACATAAAAAGAATTTACCCCTAATGAATTAGATAATCATATTTATTACCCTTACCTATAATTGCAAGCACTCCGTGGGTTTTGAAATCATAGTTTGTAAGAAAGTCATCAATTTAGGTTGCAAAGGCGGATGAAAATTCCCGCAGTGATATAAGGCTGAAATGAAAATTCATTTTGTGCTATGATTAAGAACGTAATGAAGGAACCAGACAATTAAAAACTAGTAAATTCGTTTGGTAGGGCTCGCGATAGACTTACCTCTACGTGGTGCACCCTGGGCAACGTACACTCATACGACAAAAAAGTCTATAAACCGGCAGTTGACTTCTCACTTCTAACTACCATGACCCCACTGTATGCCATGCTCCACCACTTCCACAGTACTCACATCACCATTTCTCTGCCTTTGTGACTGCCTGTCTGTTTCTTATACAACTGTGTATTACTCTTCTATCCCGCCCCCTGAAGCCCGAAGTCAACTAAAGGGATAATGATAATTGCATAAAGCCTACCATTTGACATTTATTAATATCAAATGGCATTCGTCTTGATAGTTATCATTAGCCCTTTAGTTGACTTCAGGCTTCACAGAGGGGAAAGAACATCAAAGTGAAAAAGTCGAGAGGGGTGAGGTTAACAGAAGTGTTTCAAAGATGTTAAAGAGACAGACACAAAGGTCGAGATTAGGGTAAGACGAATACTGTAGTAGTGGTGGAATATGACATAAAGTGGGGTTATGTTAGTTAGAAGTGAGAAGTCAACTGCCGGATTGTAGACTTTTTTGCCGTATGAGTATGCGTTGTCCAGGGTGCACCACGTGGAGGCAAGTCTATCTCACACCCCACCATTTGATATAGATATTAATTTAGTTACGGTTAAAAGTTTTGAGAAAATCTGCGACTGGCAGGATATTATTTGTATGAAACCATGATGTCAAATGCAGTCATAAAAACGAAGAAATAGAAATCAAATTATGCGACCAAAATATCGACTTCAAAATACTTTTGAAATCGGATGACTCAAACACCGTTCTCTCAGTCCACTTCATTTGCTTCCGTCATCCTTGGAAGGTGACATCTAAACACTGACTCCCATGGCGTGTCTTCGAATCTCTGTATTCCACTTCTACCTATAAAGGCATTCAGCCTTAGAATAAGCAAGCTTGTTCAGGTAAGCCATATTCACGTGATCGCACACGATCTCTCTCGCATACCACATTCCCCCCGCTTGTCAAGACCTGTCTTAGAAATCAATAGAATTTTTCATTCAGTGATCTCTCTGCCCTCTCAATCCTGTTCTTTTGTTGAAATTAAAGAAGACGTATCTCGAAGGCTGATGGCATGTGTCTCCAAAGTGTATGCTTTTATTATCATTAATTTTTTAAGCCTATTTCTCTTGACCTCATGGTGGAGTCTAATCTTGTGGTGACCTTAAGTTCTCCGTTGAGACATCATGTATCCCCAAGTCGTTTATTTAAATTGAGGGGATAATTATGCTGCAGAGTGTATCGATCTGACCAAAGGAGTCTCAGGCACACTAGAACATTAGGGAAGTGCGGCGTGCTACAGATTATCAATGGAGCAAGCGCACATGAGCGTACTGTGACTCGCAACCAATCAACGATGACATTTCTACAATTTTGATTTTAATTATAAACTTAGCGCACCTGATGATTTTAACACGCATGCTCATGCACTTCCCACCCCCCTCTCCTTCCTACACATTCGATTCC